ATATGAAAATTGTAAGCCACAGAAGGCACAAGAATAATTGTACTGGTTAAGGGACTGGTAATTTGTACTAGTAATTTGAAGGATTTGTTTGATCTAATCCTTCCGCTGGTGCATTTAAGGTCTAGGCACACACTATAAGCTCCAGTTTCTGTAGTAGGGAAAATAAGGAAAGAAGAGAAAAATGAATGTCAGCCCAGAATTCCCAGGTCTTTTTTAAAAAGTGTTTTAAATCAATTTCTATATGACAATTTCATTTTCCTATATTAAAAGTAACTTCTGTCTTTTCTAACCTAGTCCCATCCATTGTTGTTAACAAAAATGGGGGAGGGGCATGGGATGTTCACAGGAATGGTCAAGAAAGGAAAAATAGTGGCCTTAATGGTGTGATCAAAGCTCTACGCACTTTTTCTCTGTGTTACATTGTACATAAACAGGCAGAGCTTTGATTATACTGCCATGGTTGCTATCTTTTATTTTTTAGTATAGTCTATGGACAATTTGAATAATTACTATTGCTGGACGTGTCTCAGTTTTACATTTGCTGCAGTGTCCTGACATTAGAAGTTGATCAAGGAAAGCCTGGTTACAAAATCAACAGTAATCAGGTGCAGCATTATCAAAAATTAGAATACTCATTAAAAAAAAATCCATGTCAGATTCATGGAGGTGAGGTGACCACAATTCTCTCTCAGGAATTCCCAGAAGATATAATTAGAGAAATTGGATTACGGGGCTTTACTTCATAGAATTGTTGGTCTGAATGCTTCCAAATTCTAAATCAATCAAGCCACCCTCTTGTTTTCTCTTTCTCTTTTTCTTTTTGAAGGGACAGGAGAAATAATACGACAACTTCAGCAACTTGTGCTGCTCTAGTGTCTCAGCGTGGCAACAAAATCTATGGCACGAGGTGATCATTTTATTCTTTAAAAATGGAATTCTAAAAAAATAATTGGGAGGATGAAAAACATATATCCTTAAAATAGAACAAAAAATTCACACTCAATCTAATGTGCTTTGGAAGGCAGAAAGGCAACACAATGACATTATAATGAAATAACTAGGGAAGAATCAGGTAAGATCTTTTTAAAAAAGCAAATCAAGGTTTGCTTGGTTCTCTCCCCACCCCATGAGCGTTTTGAAGCCTCACTTGCTCTCCTTCTTCCACAAGCTACATTTCAAATAAATAAACGGCATTAATTTCAAAAGGTAATTGAGTTCAATGAATCACCTTTCATTTCAAGACAAACTGCGCTAAAGTTTACAGCACTAATGTTACTAACAATGTATTGCCTTCAAAATTGTGTGTAAGAAATGAAGTATGGCTTTAGTTGGGTATATCTGGTCATGGCCAAGGTGATGATACAGTAGGAGGGTAATGAAGTGAACTGTTAGAGGATTTCATGTTGTTTTGAATATGGAGAGAGCTGAAGAGCTTTCTGTAATAAGGTGAGGACAATGTCTCTCTTTCAGAAGCGAGCTTTAAATCACTTCTTTCAAAATGAGAAGATAAAAGGACGTAATCATAATGATCATTCCCATTTTTTAAAAAGTTGGATTGGCTCCAAATGGGTTGAAATAGCAACTTCCAGAAGGGTAGGTATGCTTTCCCATAATCTTTTCTCTTTGTAAACTACTTCTGGTAATTTAGTTCGATTTGATTTAAACTATGAAGTTCCTTGTATATATCAGGGACAAGGAATGGATTTTTTTAATGTTGGTTAAATTACATTTAGGATCCTAAACTATGTTCCAATAATGATTTCAGATCCTACTTAATAACTGATCTTAAACCCGGTTTCTTATGTCAGATATATTGGAGAATACATCACCAGAATAAAAATATCAAAAGTAACATTCAAGAAGAAAAGCAAATATGGGAACCTATCCCTGGATTAATAAAAGATGTTTTGTTTTATTTATTAGCTAGAAGTATTACATAATATCAATCCATCCAGCTTATTGGGGCCACATAGAAATCTAGCTTTAAAAAGGTAATTCACATTTTGTTAGAACAATTAACCAGTGGAACAACTTGCCTCCAGAAGTTGTGAACGCTCCAACACTGGAAGTTTTAAAGAAGAGATTGGACAACCATTTGTCTGAAATGGTATAGGGTTTCCTGCCTGAGCAGGGGGGTGGACTAGAAGATCTCTAAGGTCCCTTCCAACTCTGTTATTCTCTGCTATTCTATATGAAAAGACCCACTGGACTTTTTCTTTAACACAGTGTGTGCTTTAGTGTATCTTGCTGGCTTCAGCAAAGCTTTTGCACCAAGAAAACTGCTATTCTGCATATTGAGAAACCCTGTGTGTCTCTGTCACTAAACAAAGGCCTGTGCCCTCATTTAAAAAAAAAAAAAAAATCAGCAGGTTTTAAGGCTTTTTACTGTCAACTCTTTTAATCATTTTTGTCTCTCAAGCAATATTTATAAATGAGGCATCATTGCAATGACTAGGTCAGCTTTTTATTATTGTAATGTATACGGGGTAAACTTTCACTCTCCAAAGCCAAAATACAATTTATGTTTTGTTTTTCCTAAAAAGCAATTTCAAGAAAGGGAGGAAAAAAGGAAGATCCTAAAGAAAATATCTGCTAAACTGTAAAACTGCCAGCATGGTCAGTTAGGACTGAATCTGATTCAATTTCCTGGGGGAGACAAGAGGTAATGATAAATACCAGTCCAGATAACAATAAATTCTTACTGCATCTGTACAAAAGACACCAAAAACAACAAATACATAGTGCCATAGCATGTAGGTAATTCTACTAGACGCTACCACTTTCCCAATGTGTGAAAAGAAAAGAAAAAAGAGACCTCTGAAGAAACCATAAAAACATCCAGGATTCATTTCAGCTAGAGCCATACCACTCTTATTCCTGCTTTTCATTGAAAAATCAACATTGTTTTTGTCACTTTGAGATAAAATTCCATTTTGGACTTCAATGAGCATTCTTGTCCAGTAAATACCAACAATCATATCCAAGAAGAAGTAAACATATTCTGTCCTTGCTGAAAACGGCAGCCTTAAAATAAGCTCCTCCCATCAACAGCAAGGAACTTGCTGTGTTTGGATATTAGGACATTTTGGACTTGCCAGCCCTTGTGTCATCAAGTGCTGGTGGGGAACTCGAAAGATTGTGGTCTCAGTATGCAATTAGATTAATATCATAGAAAGTATGGAAATATTAGCAATTTCAGTGGCAGCTCTGCATTCGGCATGATGAGTTTAGCTTTATTGAAGGATGCCAGAAGTAGGACTCAGTGGCTCTTCATTGCAAAAGATTATCTTGAAAATATCAGGACAACTCTGAAGAGCTCCATTTTTAATACATTATGCACTGCTCTCGTGTTTTGTTTGGTGCAAACTTTTGCTGTAGAACAGAAAGTATTTAAATACTTCTATTCATTGGTTATTAATTATGTAAATCTGAGGAATGAATAAAGTGACGCGTTTATTCTTCTAGCCAATGGGACAGAAAAACAAATTTTGCACAATGTTTAGGTGCAATCCAGTTCTTATGAAGCGTGCTCAAAACTTAGAAAGTTAGTTAGCACAGTTAAACACTTAACTGTATGCAGGTTTCTTCTCCAGAGTTGTGCTTTCAGTATATATTGTGCCTAGTCTATTCCTTTAAACAATATTTTATATAAAAATGTTTCTATTCCATTTCTAATATATTGAAAGTATTCTTGCACTCTGAGATGATATCATTTTTGCCACAGTAATTTAAGAACAAAACAAACATATCTTACAACACTTTTAGATGAAAAAGTAGTTAAAACATGTTTCAGGTAAAAATATGAAATATCAAATATATACATCACGTAAAGATTTCAGAGAAGAAGGGGAGGAATACATTTGTATCAAATGCTATTTAGAAGGTGGCCCAGACCCAACTATTCAATGTGATGAAGTAAAAGGGTACAATTCAGCCAAAATAAAACATTCATCAATCATCATAGTCATTCTATAAACATATGGTTAGAAATAACTTCTGGACTTAGTCCCCAAATGCATGTGCATGGGATTGCCCCTTTGGATTCCATGGATTTCAATAGAAAATCTTTTCCCATGACCAATAAAATAATTTAAAATGCTTCATTAAGACAATATAGCAGCAACCCTTTTTTTTTACTCTATGAAGAGTGAAATGCTGTTGTGTTAAGGAGCTGACCATATCACAGAACTGTATTAGCCAAACTACAAATGTTCTTGCCTTCATTTGCTTTGCACAGTATTGCCTTGCTTGAAAGGAGAAAGGGAAACATAGCTAGATAAATATAGCTGAGGCAAACATCAAAAAATGAGGGCATTCCAACTCTGGAATTTGGGTTCATTCAGTTCCATCTCCAGTCTACTTTATTTTGTATCCAGTCCCTCTAACATGTGGTGAACCCAACATGGAACAGAACAGAGCATACTTTCAACTCTGTGGTGCCTTCTGAAAGAACTTGCCACTACTGTTGTTTCCCCAAATTTCCTAATAACAGAAATAGTAGGTAGATAACTCTCCCCAAAACTTGACAGTAGGGTTCAAGAAGCTTGAAACATGCTTAAGTAGAATAAAATATGCCAAAATATGGGCATACATTGTTCTCATAAAAGGAAAGTAAAAAAAACTTAGAAGAGATGATGTCTTTTGCTCTCAGTTGAACAAGAAAAAGAGGATTTATATATCTTGTACAGTGTTACACAAAAAGTGCACTTCCTTCATTAAGCAGTTGAATTAAAAATTTAGAAATCTTAGCTGTGAAAGTACCCCATAGGGTTAAGAGCTTTTAATACAAACAAAGGGCCATCAGCTTCTGTAGGATTTTACCATGACATCTGGGGAAAAATCAACCAAGTAATGAGCAATATATAGGTGATAGATGATAGATAGATAGATAGATAGATAGATAGATAGATAGATAGATAGATAGATAGATAGATAGATAGATAGATAGATAGATAGA